ATCCATGCATTGTGTGAGAAAATATCCAGGTATAAGGGGGTGGATCCACTTGCTAAAGTTTAGCCCGGGTCGCATCGGATGTTTAAATACTAATTAGAAGAACTAAATATGAGTTAATTATAAAACTAATTGCATAAGCCGTGACTAATTCACGAGACGAATTTATTAAGCCTAACTAATATATGATTAGCATATGTTTACTGTAGCATCACCTTTGCTAATCATGGACTAATTAGTCTTAATAAATTCGTCTCACGAATTAGCTTTCATTTATGCAATTAGTTTTGTAATTAGTCTATATTTAATACTCCTAATTAGGATCCAAACACCCCCTAATCCTAGTAGCTAGCGGGGGCAAACGGAAATGCTGGGGTTAGGGCGTCCGATCGTCCGAACGCGCCCCCGTTGTCGTGGGCCGTGACGGTACAAATGGCCCAACTATCGCGGATGCCTCCTCTGTTTGATAAAAAACGTACGGTTGTCTTCTTCACTCACGAGTCTCCCGAAACGTCATTCCCCAATCCCCACTCGCCATCGAATTCCAATTTCCGCGCTCCAACGTGACCGCGCTCCTGCGGTGCTCTCGACCGCGGCTGGCCAGCAGCCATCCTCCATCTCCACCTCACCTGAGCACCGCCGGCCGCCTTCCTCCCTCTCCACCATAGTTCACCCATTGCGCGGTTTCAGTTCGCCATGCCTGCCCAACCGCTTCTGTCCCTCTCCGATGGCACCTCAGGCAAGGAGGGGCGACTAATCAGCCTCCGCCTCTCTTCCTCTACACAGAGCTCGGTCAGCATCCTCCCTCGACGACGTCGCCCGCCTCTACTGGCGCTGGTGGTGCCATCGCGCACCTCAGATTGGTCCCCACCGAGCCAACGAAGCACGGCCCATGCTGGTGATGCTCGCGCGCTGCCTCTCGGTGCCGACTCCCACTCCGAGGCTAGAATCAACCGGCCCTGGCGTCTCCCTCCCCTATGTTGCAAATATATGTTTTAATTGTTTCATATGTAATCAAAGGTATGTTGCAAGTGTTTCATATGGATGTTGCAAAAGTAGATCAGGATGTTGCATATGTTGCGAGTGTTTCAGAGACATGTTGCAAGTGTTTCAGATGATGTTGCAAGCGTTTGTTCAAAATGTTTCATCTGTTTCAGACATCTATTGCAAGCGTTTTTTATCTGGATGTTGCACATGTTTCACACATATGTTGCAAGAGTATGTTTGAAGTGTTTCAACTGTTTTCGTCATATGTTGTGTTTTCATGTTGCAAGTTGCAAGTGTTTTATCTGGATGTTGCATATTTTCACACACATGTTGTAAGTGTATGTTCCAGATGTTTCATTTGCTTTAGACGTATGTTGCATACAAGTGTTTTTCATGTTGCAAGTGTTTCGTGTTTTAGAGATATATTCAGAGAGTCGTGGGGGCATGGCTGGGGCGCCGGGGGAAGGGGCGCAACGAGCCAGGTGCCGGCGCATGGAGCGCGTGGCGTGCCTGGGGTCCTACGGATGGGGCGTGCTTGTTCTCATCTCGGCTCCTGGGTCGTGCCCACGTGTAGAGAGAGGAGGGGGTAGGTGGGAGGAGCGGCGGCGCGGGCGGGCGGACAAGGGCGGGGTACGCGTGTAGGACGGGACGAGGCGGATGGGGATGGACGCACGCGTGTAGCAACAAACAGCTCAACGGCAGGCGTGGGCGGGCGGGCTGGCGACCTAGGAAGTCGGGGTCACGCGATGGAGTTTTTCTGATGGGCTGTTCTGCTACGACATTTCAGTGGGAGTGTGCCCAGGTTACCAAAGCAAAAAGGGAGAGGTGCGGCACTTGGTGTCTGTCTAGCCACCGGCCGACATATATGATGAAAATTTGATGGTAATAATAAGTAAGTTTTTCGTTTGGCAATATAGGAGTAGATGCGTCCCTGATCCTAGCAGGAGGGATCATGAAGATGCTTTGAATAAAACCATCTTGTTCAGGACTCCCACAATTTAATCTTCAAGAATGTACCACCTCAGACACGCTGAATGCTCAGAATCACGCGGAATCAGAAATAATAATTATTACAAGTCTCATCTACCTGCTTAGACGTCAGGACGGCTCCGATTTCAGAGAGCATGTGTCAGCTGCTTAGACGTCACGCACTTGTGGCTGCTTAGACGTCAGTACGTCACGCACTTGGTCGCATCCGTCCGTGTGAAAGGCAAGAAACATGTGTGTCAGCTCTCTGTGGTCGCTTAACCACAATGGGCAATTTTCTGTTAATTCGATGTGCAAGGCAAATCTAGGGCCTCGTTTAGTTCCGCCGAATTGGCGCCGGCAGGAACACTGTAGTGACACTGTAGCTACAGTGTCGTTTTGTTTTTATTTGGTAATAATTGTCCAATTGTTGACTAATTAGGCTCAAAACGTTCGTCTCGCAAAGTACAACCAAACTGTGTAATTAGTTTTTGATTTCGTCAACATTTAGTACTCCATGCATGTACCGCAAATTTGTTGTGACGGGGAATCTTCTTTTTACATAGTGTCAAATTCTGGAATCGGAGGGAACTAAACGCGGCCTAGATCGTGAGTTGTGATGGTCCATGGATAGTTGCTTTGATTGGAACTTGAAACTACATACCTCTAAACATTCAGGTATTTATGCTAAAAAAAAGTATCGTTCTCACAAAAGATGACTTAGTTGGATTTGGCATGGAAGTTAAAAAAAAAACTCCTGTTAGTTTTACCAACATGTTCGAATCATGGCTAACAGAAATAGGGAAGAAGCTTAATTAAACATCCAAATTGGATTGGTGCAGATGTGGTATGTTGGGCACTTTGGTTCAGTCGAAATGATGTCGTTTGGTACATGGCCAAAGTACACTGTGTGTCGCATGTTGGAGACGGCAACTACGAACAGATTTGCTAAGGCGAGGGAGGCTTAGCAATGATTGTGTGATTGATAGAGAACATTTCCTATTTGTTACGCCTGTAGTTGTCAGAAGGTTGCGGTAATTGGAATATATATTATGGTAGACGAATTCTGCTATATCATTAGCATAAAAAAAAATCTTCCTCGGACTGCCATGAAAGATTGGTTGAAATAAAATGAAAGCTTAGAAAACAGAGAGCAGCCATGTAAATGGATTGTTATCATCACCTTTTGAGCACAAACTTTTAGAAGCCTTACGTGCGCCCTTGTATTTTTTTTTCTGATATCATTATCAGTAAAAACAGCTGCCATGCTCACTTGCCCTTCAGATTCTCTCACGTGCTTATCAGTAAGCTTCACATTTGCAAAGTAGGATTACTGATTCGCAAACGCAGGCAGTAGTGCCCGGGCGTCCGGCGCACGCAGCACGTCTGGACGTAACTCCTAGTTCCAGCGAACCGAACCGTGGCTCAGCTCCCGGTCACAGGCCCACCGCAGCCCATCCACCGTCCGCCTTCGCCCCGCTCCACGTGCACACTCCATCCCCGTCTCTGCACGCGCCGGTCGCCCCTAACCCCCTCCTCTCTCCGCGCGGGTGGCACTCAGGAGCCGGGATGAGCAGCTGAGGACGAGCATGCCCCCAGCGTGCCCCGACCGCAGCACCCCCGTCCACCGCCCCCGGCCAACATGAAACACTTGCAACATGAATGCAACATAAGAGCTAAAACAGATGAAACATTTGAAAACATATTTTTGCAACATGTGTGTGAAACACGTGAAACATCCAGAAAAAATAAAACACTTGCAACTTACAACATTAAACCACTTGCTGTAACATAAGACTAAAACAACTGAAATATTATTTGGAAAACATACTTTTACAACATATAAAACATTCAGATAAAAAATGATTGGAACATACGTCTGGAAATAGATAAAACATTTTGAACAAACGTTTGCAACATGCCTCAGAAAATACTTGCAACATATGCAACATCCCTCGATCTACGTTTGCAACATCAAGATGAAAACAATTGCAACATACATCTGAAATGTCTGAATCACTAAACATACATATGCAACATAGGGGAGGGAAGGTCGGGCTGGTCGGTTCCGGCCGACGGGGTCGGGGTCGGCGGCGAGCCGTGGCACGCGAGCACCGCCAGCACCACCCGCGCTCGTGGGTACCCTTGGCTCGGCCGCAGAAGACCTGAAGCGCAACGGCACATGCGCCCCAGAGGCCATGGTGAGGTCAGTGACGTGCGCGGCGGCGAAGGGAGACGAACAGATGACGAGGGAGCGAGCGGTGTAGGTGTCTAGGACAGGCGGTGTGCGGCGTCTATGGGGCATGGCGCGACGCAACTAACGCAGCACGTGGGGGAGATGGGGCGGACAATGGCGCCATGCGCCTCAGAGCCCATAGATAAGCACGTGGGGGGAAGGTCGGGCGACGACGGTCACAGACAATGAGCGGCCATGCTGCTTCGGGGCCCACAGATAAGCACGAAGTATTTGGGGCACGTGCGGGCGGATAAGCACGAGGGAGAGAGTTTTTTTTTTTTGGGTCCGCTCCTGGTAAGCCACGTCCCGGACGGACGCCCCAGTTATCATTTTCGATTCGCAAAACATGCCCAAATACGAAGAGACTCGTGAACCAAAATCCCTGTACTCCCAACGAGTATGCTTCTTTGCAGGCTGCCAAAATACCGGGTGATCTTCATGAATGACATGAATCGTGGAGTGAGGGCAGCACTTGTAAATCCATAGGGGGGCAGCGAATATTCCATCACTTGACATGAATGGACAATGGTTAGAAATAGTGCACTTGACCTTTCATTTATGCATACAGCAAACGAAGGAAAACCACAGAAGTATTGCAAAAATACAGGATCAGTTGTGGACAATATTATGTGTCAGTGTTCCAGTAAGAAAATGGAACTGTAATTCGATGATATTGGCATCAACAAGTCCAGTTCCACATTTTGCAATTAGTATCTCCAGAAAGTTAAACAACTCGATCAATCCATCCCTTCCAACTTGATACAAGATGCAATTTTCAGGAAAAACATATTATGGTATCATCCTGAGAATTAAACTAACCACCATGCAAAGTGGAGATGAAAACAACAACATCCTTCTCTTCCAACTCTGCATCAAGGCCACCACACAGCTCCCAATCACAGTCATTTATAAGGACAAGAACCCCAGGCCTCCTGCATGCATGAAGGAAGAAAAAACCATGAAAACTAAACATCTGGTTGAGCCTGAACTCAGAAAAGAAGAAATTTTCTGAATCTCTATCTCGTTACATTTTGAAATATATCGAATGCTCTCCAAAATTACTGCACTGAAAGCATACACACGTCTGCACCACCAATAAAAAGTAACCTATATGTTTATACAACTTCATTGGCAAGAAAAAAAAGTTAAATAAAAAAGGCAAGAAGGTATTCATGGCAGTTCGCTTTTGCTAGCAATGGAAAACGAATTATGGGATGACACAGATGCAGTGTTCACTACGACTAGCATGATGTCTTCATAGGCTAGTCTGTGCCTCAGCGAGTTATAGTAAACAAGGTCAGGAGTTAAACATAGAACTAGATAGCTAGACCATCTAGATGGTTAAACTTGGTCACAAACAGTCTAGACATTGCAGCTGGAAACTTACTGGGCTGCCCTTCTGTAAATGCCCATACAAGTGATGCGACTCCTAGTCCTCTGACTGCAGCACTGTGCTGCAAATGGCCATCAAAATTCCTTTGTGCTGGCTTGTGCCTTTGTACCCACTCTGTTGCCCGCTACTATGCTAATGGCTACTGCTACCACTAGGCATGCTCTGAAGTCTGATGAACAGATGCTTATTGCTTGCTTGGGCTTGGGCCTGAGCTCCCAATTGAATAACTGGCTGTGAATTGTGATAGGCAGGTAGCTCTAATCACACCTTTGTGGGTTGTGGCTAGTGCCAACTTTTGGTACCATATCACTGCGACTGCAAGTTGTTTGATGCATTTGTACCTTTACAAGCTATGCGTCAAATCTCACTTTTGAAAAATAAGTATGGATTTACCTGTTTGCACATTTGCAGCTACAATTAAAAAAAAACGTCTAGACCATCTGTAGTCATCATCTTGACTGCCTAGACACTAATTGTAGGGTGAATGTTTGTCTATCTCTACTATCAAGCATCTAGATGGCCGTAAATGCTAGTTTTTAAATTAATTGAATAAGTTTGATCAGTGTTTCCTTCTTTTCCTTGAATACATGGGAGGACCATGCATATTTATTTTAGCGAAGGAACACGTTGATTTGTTACTCCCTCCATCCCAAATTATAAGTCATTCCAAGAATCTTGGAGAGTCAAACTTTTTCAAGTTTGACTAAAATTATAGAGAGAAACACAAAGATTGATGACATCAAATAGGTATAATATGAAAATATAACTAATGAAGAATCTAATCATACTTACTCGGTATGATAAATATTATTATTTTGTTATATAAATTTGGTCAAACTTGAAAAACTTTGACTCTCCAAGATTCTTGGAATGACTTACAATTTGGGATGGAGGGAGTACATCACAAGACACATGAATGTACTATCTTAGGGGTGGAAAAAAATGCCACTCTTAGGGATACTGGTCTCGAAATAAGCAATAGGAAAGAAACAATAACAGCTAGTAAAGCCTACCTAGCTCAGGACTGAAAGGCTCCCAGATATTTTGCATCACCTGCAGCCCATGAGAAGAGCTCTTTTTTGGTTTTGTAAATGGTTTGTGCTTTCAAGATCTAATTCCTGAGCCTAATACCCCTCTCTAGGCATTAGTAAAAACCACAGCACAATTAGTTGGTGTTGATTGTCAAATTAAACCACAGGGGAGTTAGAAATAATTTGGATTTATCAAATCTTGGAGTCAGTTGCAGTCTACAGGCCACAGTTAACTTGTACTAGGAACTAAGTATCAATCCACACTAGTTACCCGTCAGGAAACTGCCATTCATCATAAGAGAGATGGCAGCAACCAAAGCATACCAAGAGCTTGGCGCACAATCACACTACCTACACAAGTCAACGAAGAGAGAGGGGAGCAAAACAACACATACACGGAATCGCCCTTGACGAACATCTCCGGCCGCTCCTTGATCAGATTGTCCTTGACCCAAGAGAGCAACAACTTCATCGTCACCTTGCCTTGGCCATCCTTGGGCGTGGTGACCTCCACCACCTTGCCTTGGCCGTCCTTGGGCGTGGTGACCTCCACCTTGTGCACCTTGGTGGAGTTCTCCAGGAGCAGCTCCAGCCCGCCCCTGCAACCCCAAACCAGCGGTTGCTTTTTAATCGTCAGGGACCGCGGGCGCGCAGCGCTACGCACAAAGGCGAGAGGAATCCGGGGGGAAAATGATAGGTCCAGGGAGAAGGGTTACCCGAATTCGAGAGTGAGATGCATCGCCAGAGGTCACCGAGGGCTGGGAACTCGTTCCGTCGAGGCCGGGGACGGAGGGAGCGTGGCGGCCGGGGATCGAAGGAGACGGCGCTGGTTCGGGCGGCGCTGCGAGGCTGTGACCGGCTGACCGCCTGTTTGCTTGGTCCAGTTTGGGCCGCTCCATGGGCCTGGTTTGGGCCGTGATCTGTGTCGGCATACGCACCAACCCTGAAAGGCAAGCACTTTAGGAAGGGCGGTACGCAAGGTCGTCGCGGAACAACGGCTCTGGAAGCCTGGAACCAGACTATGGTTCTGTCCATCCGTCAGCAGCACATCTCGAAATCGAATGGGCTTGGAGACCAGGTGCTAGAGCCTCAAAGGCCTATGGTCCAAGACCAATCCCCTGTGCAGCCCATCATCGGAACACGTCCCCCAGCTCCTCGCCGCCTCCGTCCGCTCCTCTCATGTGGTTTGTCTGGTGACAGAATGTGATGCCTTTTCTTCTTTGTGCTTGTTAGTTCAAAAAAAAACTTTCCCCAAAAGTGCTACAGTAGCTATTATATCGAATTTTACGATATGTGTATGTAAGCATTAAATGTAGACAAAAAAAAAAACTAATTACACAGTTTGGTTAGAAAATCGCGAGACGAACGTTTTGAGCCTAATTAGTCCATGATTGAACACTCATTGCCAAATAAAAATAAAAGTTGCTACAGTAACCAAATCCTCAAAATTCGCGAACTAAACAGCCTTTACTACAAAATACATAACAGAAACGAGTTCAAAAACCTACCAAAAAAAAGGACGTAACAGAACTGCGTGCGCGCGAGGGCCGTTGCGCCCATGGCGAGGCATCGCCGTGGCAGAGGGCGCCAAGCCAACCCGCGGCGGGGCTCCGGCGGCAGCGGGCGAGACGAGGCGAACGGCGTTGAAGCGGGAAACCGCAACGGGCATAACTACGACGACCACTCGCGCCACCCCTCGCGGAGGAGCCCGCCGCGCTGCTGCGGAAGGAGTTCGAGGCGATCGGCATCCACGTCCGCCGCGCCGAGCCCGTGTCCCCACCGGGCCCAGGGTACGGCGCCGCGGGGACGCCGTGCGTCGGCAGGGCCAACCGCTTCCTCGGCCGCCTCGTCGACGAGGGCCTGCACCAGTACAACGTAAGTGCCCTCATCCACTCTTCGTTGTTGGCTTTGACCTGATGATCTGACCTAGCGCCATTGCCGTGGGTTCCCGTGTTTGTGGTGGTTCGTTTCGTTGTAGGTGACCATTTCGCCGGAGCCGACGGCCAAGGGCGCGTACAGGGAGATCATGACGAAGTTGGTGTCCGAGAACCAGCACACGGAGCTCGGCGTCCGCTTCCCCGCGTACGACGGCCCCGACTTGCTTTTCACCGCGGGCGCGCTGCCGTTCAACAGCATGGAGTTCGAGGTCACCCTCTCTGCAGGCGGCGACAAAAGGTACGTTAACTAACTCTGCTTCTCCCTTGTTGGCCGCTGCGGAGTCGCGCTGCAAATGCTCGACGAATCGTGCTGGATTGACAGGAAGTACAAGGTGGCGATCAGCCTGATGCAGCTGAGGATGCTGTTGGCGGGCTACCCCACTGACATCCCCGCGCAGGCGCTACAGGTCCTCGAGCCCGTGCTGCGTGACGTCGTCATCAACGAACGCGATGACATTGAGTAATTGACGAAACATTCACCGTCTCTGAGCATTTCACTGTGTTTATGATTTGGGATGATAAATGTTCTTCGTCTGGGCTGTGAACAGATGCGTCCCGATTGGCACCAATGATCATACACTGGGTGTTTAGGCATGGAAGGGGCCCTATCAGAGCATCAGGTCAACACAGGACGGCTTCTTGTCTCTGATTGCAGGTTAGCTATCAGTTCAATTCTAAATGCAGGTTTTCCGTTTTCCTTTTCAGTTATGTACAATATGGCATAGGATGTTTGGATGGCAGAACTAGCCAGATAGGGGAAATTTAGATATAATATGTACTCAATCCATCCCAAATTGTAAGACGTTTGACTTTTTTGACACCAAGTTTGACCACTCGTCTTATTCAAAAATTTATATAAAATATCACTTCTTTCGTCGTGGTTTAGTTTATTAATAAAAATTCTTCAAGAATGACTTAAATTTGACTATATTTACACAAAATTTTTGAATAAAACGAGTGGTCAAACTTGAGCCCAAAAAAATCAAACGTCTTACAATTTGGGATGGAGCGAGTACTTGTGTAAGTTCATTTATGTGGTCCGTGGAAATCATATCTATTTCAGATCATTTAGACGCTATTGTTTCGTGTGATTGCTTTAAAGAAATTTCGGTTGCACTTCTACATGGCTAGTAATATTGCAGTCCAGAGCTTGTGTCTCTGTCAAATTTGTAACATGCTGTAATTTTCCATTGTAGACGTGTGCTCATCAATTTTCGTTCAATCCCTGCTGCTGATTGACTTCGTTCAGAAGATCGATAGGAACTTGACTGAACCTGAGTATGATAAGGTATCCATGCTTTCTCCTGCATTGATACAAAATACAATGTGCAAAAGAACTTCAGATGTATGATGTTGTTTTCTGAATTTCAGCTCTTGAAGGCCCTCAGGGATGTGAAGATTGAAGTCACACACCGAGGTAATAAACACCATACGTACAGAATTGCTGGCTTGTCAGTGAAGCCTACTAATGATTTGAGGTAGGATTGCTCTCCTTTGCATTTATGTTCAACTTAGCCTCTCTATTTCAAAATTATATGGTGCCATCATATTCTGCAATCAGCACTTTTAATCAAATGCTTCTTGGATCCTTAAAATATCAGTTCTGAATCACCAAGTGGAGCTACAAAGACTGTCATTGATCACTTCAGAGAAAGGTACAGCCTGGAACTGAAATACAAATCTCTCCCATGCATCGATGTTGGCAGCGAGCAGAAGCCAATTTATCTTCCTATAGAGGTTGGTAATTATGGACTTCTCAACTTTAACATGATGTTTTATGCATCTATATTCCTTACCCTCCCATATATTCTGCTGCTATTTCCGAATGTCAATTTGAATGTCAAATTGAATTTCAGGTTTGCAAGATAGTTCCCAGGCAGTGTTACCAGAAGAACTTGGAATGCAGTCAGGTTTCTACTCTAAGGAAGTCAGCCTCCATCCAGCCTGAACCGGAGCAGTCCAGTCATCATGTTCATGATCTCGCTGTCAGCTGTAAACTGATAAAACTATCTTTAAGTTTTCTCTAACCTAACTTCCACTTGTCTTAGGTTGTTGACCGCAAACGCACTAAATGTGCAAATGAATTTGGCATAGAATTCGATGACAATCTTACAACAGTTGATGCTAGAGTTCTGCTGCCTCCAAATGTACTCCTACTTCCATGAGTTCTGACGTAGTAGTTTTATGTCTAATGCAGTTTGTGATTGCCTTATGTGCTCTCCTTTTGTTGTTGTTGTTGTAGCTTAAGTATCATGATTCTAGACCTCAGAAAACGTGGTTTCCAATGAATGGGCACTGGAATATGAAAGACAAGGTATGTCATGAGCTGCTAAACCAATCTTAAAGTTAGAGGTTCAATGAAGGTCCATTTTAAGAACCTTTTCCTGTACTGTCATACTGTCATTTACTTTCTCTTATGTTCTTTAGCGAAGTAATGAATCAATAAAAAAATTTCTTTAATTTTCCATGAATTTTGATTGTACATATATTTCTTCTTAATCTATAACCATTGTTTGCATATTTTATTTGGATTGTTTGCAGAAAGTAATAAATTGTGCCAAAATCAGCAACTGGGCATGTGTTAATTTTTGTGAGGATTTATCCAAGAAAGCTATTGAGGAGTTTTGCTTTAAGCTGGCTGAAATGCCTCGCATTATTGGAGCGGTAATATGTATTGTCTACCATTTTTCACTTTAATTTCAGGACTTTGCTAATTTGAAGCTCCCAATATTCACTGCACGTTCAGATGAAGTTGAACATGATATTTGTATATATGGCTACCCAATTGTTACTGAACTATTGACTGAAATCTGTGCAGGGTATATATGGCTACCCAACTGAAATCCAGGCTCTCTTTTTCATGGCTATGAGATGTGCCTTAAGTTGGCTTGACTTCGGAACAATTAATGATATATACGGCTACAAGACTGAAGAGTACTCACAGACAGCTTTGAGCAAGTTCAATGTGATACCCGAATCAGTATCTGATTGCATATTTGACTTCATGCCCATCCACGGTGGATACCTCATTGGCAATGTTGGCCCTGCCATAGATTTCCGCTGGTTTTGCTTAGGCATTTTTATTGCAACTCTGTCATCATTAACCACCGGAGAGCAAGGCAATGCTGGATATTGTGGAGGAGTGCTGGCAACGACTCATTGGGGAGATGCCACTCAAGATCTGTTACCCTGCAATGGAAAACCAGAAAATCACTGGATGTGGCCCAAAGAACACCAGGTGGAGCTACGACAATGAAGGATCATGGCCAGGTGAGAGTAATTTGGAAACTTGATATGGAGCATTGCATTATGTTATTAAACACCTTGACAATTATCTGCCGTTTGTTTTGTATTTTGTGGTTTAGCGAGTAAGTAGTTACATTTTCAAATCGAGTAATAAACAGATGAGATTGACCATTCATTGACCTGAACTTTATCTGTGTTTGAGAAATTGGTAACACTACGAACATGGTTTGTCAGTATGAAACTCTTTGGGTTTATAAAATCTTTAAAAACCCAGTAGAAGGATCAATGTGTTCGCTGCATGCGATTGCAGATGCTGCTCGGGAAGCGCTCAAGAGGTCAATTGTTTACTTGAGAGGCCAGCCAATTGGGACTGTTGCTGCAATCGACAAAATCTCAGGGGGCAGAACTCAGTGACGCTCAGGTGACCTTTTGTTTGTTTCGAGTTAAAGCATTGGTACTGCTGTCAGTTTTAAAGATTTCTTGCCACTTTTATATCATCATTCGCCTTGTTATTTTTATATGACTGCTTATTTTGCATCCATTGTTATCAGAAGTGTTGTCCTAATCCTAATGGAGAGTATTCTTTCGTTATTATGATTGACAACATATCATAATCTTGTGCAAAAAGTTTATGTTGCTCATTAGTTAATAAATGGCTTTTATTGTGGATAGTACCCCACGGTTTTTCTCCAAAACAACTTATGGATATTGTTCGAAAGATGAGTGTTAGCAATAGTCACTGTCTGCTTGGATAAATCTGAGGATGGATCTAATGATATGTGCTTAAAAAGTTTTCAAGTTGGGATTGGAGCTACTCGATTATCGTGTTTGAAATATGGTCTGCACTGATTTTTCGCATATTTATGGAGCCACGGTCTTTTTCTTTTACAACTCCACCAGGACCTTCTATATAACATTGAAATTTGAGGGAAGATCTATCACCCTACTATTCGCCAGAAGGGATCTGTACATAAAAGGCTGGAGGGATGAGTCGCATGGATCCTTTGAAATAAGAATGGAGCATTGTGCAGCATACATGCTTGGAAAGGTGAAAGTGATGAATATCGAGAAGAATTATTCATTCTTGTCCACGAGTGGCAAAGTAGGTGGAACAAGGATAGGTCTTGATGCACTTCGTGAGGCATTTAATATTCTGTTTAAGTATAAAGGTGAGAGGTCCCCAGAGGCCAGACGAGCAATTAATGTGTTTGCCATCAACTTTCCGGAGGCTATTAGAATTCAAAAGGTATATAAGACTGTGGACTCTGATCAACAAGTATTTGATCTCATTCCCATAGCACCTGATGAACCGACACCGGATCCCGAAGATACGAACACGCTATGGATTGAGAACTATGGTCACTATAGTCGTCAGGCAATGTTGGATGAAAATACCCGTGACTCTGGAACAGATCCACAAGGAATTGACAATCGAGATGGTGCCAATGTAGAATCAGCTACTGAGATATTTAGAGAGATCCGGGTAGGCTTATGTGATGCTTGTCCACAAGCTGAAAATGAGACAAAACCTCAGAAAATTGAAGATCCTGACGACAAAATAAATGAATCTTTTATTCCTAAGCCCATGCCTAGAACCAGAAAGAAAAGAAGAAAAGGAAAAGTTCCCGACTTAGAGGGAGGAGATGGAGAATCAGTAAGTGCTGAATCAGTTGCTCTGTTCCTCTTGGAAGACTGGCTTTCAGAAGAAGATGAGATTGACAATGATGAGAATAGAAAGCAAAAAGGTTCAGACTTAGGAAGGAGATGGAGAATCAGAAGACGATGAGATTGCCGATGATGAGATTGGAACTGGAAAGAAAAGGAGAAACGAAAAAGGTTTGAACTCAGACGAAGGAGATAGAGAGTCGAGAAGAAGAGATTGCCGATGATAAGCAAGAGAGCAAAGCTAAAGAAGTTGAATGGGTTAACTTTTCTGTTGGGAAGTTTTTGGAGAGAAGGATGGAAGAAAAGATTCGGACTATGAGGATAAGTGAGTGGTTGTCGAACAAGCTGCAAAAGACAGAAAACTTTCATCAAATCAGTCAGTTCAATGCTGAGAAGGTTACAGTAAGGAAGTTTATCCCCCCAAAGCCACATAGCATGTTGCAGCGGAATATAGTAAGTTTGGGGCAGCGGTTACTCTCTATACATCCGTAGTTCAACCTGCCTTCCAGCCCAATTCAATCATCATCGCAATTCATCGCATTCTCCATCTCCTCCCTCTAAGTCTGAACCTTTTTGCTTTCTATTTTCATCATCGCCAATCTCATCTTCTTCTGAAAGCCAGTATTCCAAGAGGAATAGAGCAACTGATTCAGCATTTACTGATTCTCCATCTCCTCCCTCTAAGTCGGGAACTTTTCCCTTTCTTCTTTTCTTTCTGGTTCTAGGCATGGGCTTAGGAATAAAAGATTCATTTATCTTGTCGTCAGGATCTTCAAATTTCTGAGGTTTTGTCTCATTTTCAGCTTGTGGACAAGCATCACGTAAACCTACCCGGATCTCTCTGAATATCTCAGTAGCTGATTCTACATTGGCACCATCTCGATTGCCAATTCCTTGTGGATCTGTTCCAGAGTCACGGGCATTTGCATCCAACATTGCCTGACGATTATAGTGACCATAGTTCTCAATCCATAGCGTGTTCGTATCTTCAGGATCCAGTGTCGGTTCATCAGGTGCTAAGGGAATGGGATCAAATACTTGTTGATCAGAGTCCACAGTCTTATATACCTTTTGAATTCTAATAGCCTCTGGAAAGTTGACGACAAACACACCAATTGCTCGTCTGACCTCTAGGGACCTCCCACCTTTATACTTAAACAGAATATTAAATGCCTCACGAAGTGCATCAGGACCTATCCTTGTTCCACCTACTTTGCCACTCGTGGATAAGAATGAATAATTCTTCTCGATATTCATCACTTTCACCTTTCCAAGCATGTACGCTGCACAATGCTCCATTCTTATTTCGAAGGATCCATGTGACTCATCCCTCCAACCTTGTACAGATCCCTTCCGGCCAATAGCAGGGTGATAGATCTTCCCTCAAATTTCAATGTTATATAGAAGGTCCCCCTGGTGAACTTGTAAAAGAAAAGATCATGGCTCCATAAATATGCGAAAAATCATAGTGCAAGCCATATTTCAAACACGATAATCGAGTAGCTTCAATCCCAACTTGAAAACTTTTTAAGCACATATCATTAGATCCATCCTCAGATTTATCCAAGCAGATAGTGTCCTTATTGCTAACACTCGTCTTTCGAACAATATCCATAAGTTGTTTTGGAGAAAAACCGTGGGGTACTATCCGCAACAAAAGCCATTTATTAACTTTTTGCACAAGATTATGATATGTTGTCAATGATAATAATGAAAGAATACTCTCCATTAGGATTAGGACAACACTTCTGATAACAATGGATGCAAAATAAGCAGTCATATAAAAATAACAAGGCGAAGCATGATATAAAAGTGGCAAGAAATCTTTAAAACTGACAGCAGTACCAATGCTTTAACTCGAAACAAACAAAAGGTCACATGAGCGTCACTGAGTTCTGCCCCCTGAGATTTGTCGATTGCAGCAACAGTCCCAATTGGCTGGCCTCTCAAGTAAACAGTTGACCTCTTGAGCGCTTTCCGAGCAGCATCTGCAATCGCATGCAACTATGGCAAATGGGCGGTGACAATGAAAGTCAAGCTCAGAGCCCGACGGCTCTGGAATGCCATTGACAAGGGCACTGACAACGAAGAAGACGACATGTCAGCGTTGGAAGCCATCCTCGCTGCTGTGCCAGCGGAGTACAGGAGGCCGTTGGGGGCGACGAGCTTTGCTAAGAAGGCGTGGGAGGCCATTGCGGCGATGCGCGTCGGTTCCGACCGCGCAAAGAAGACGACGGCCCAGCTGCTGAAGCAGGAGTACGCCAACCTCAAGTTCAAGGATGGTGAATCGGTGAACTTCTCCCTCCGCCTGCAGACGCTCATCAGCAAACTGAGGAGCCATGGCGTCACCATCGATGAAAAAGAGGCGGTCTCCAAGTACCACCACTCCGTGCCGGTGAAGTACATCCAGATTGTTCTCTCCATAGAGATGATGCTGGACTTGTCCACCCTCACCGTTGAGGATGTGACAGGTCGTCTACGGGCGGTGGACGAGCGGATGGAGCAAGCCACAACAACGACGGACAGCGACAAGCTGCTACTGACAGAGGAGTGGGCTACCCGGATGAAGGAGAAAAAGTCCGGGGAAGCCTCCTCCAGCCGCGGTGGCGATGGCAAGCGCCGCGGCAAGGCTTCTTCGGAGAAGAAGAAGGTCGACCCCAACGCCTGCCGACGCTACAGGAAGACGGGCCATTGGGCAAAGGAGTGCCCAAATCGCAAGCAGAAGAAGAATGCTGAGGCTCATCTGGCGCAGGCTGATGATGATGATGAGGCCACTCTCCTGATGACGACGTTCTGTGCACCGCACGACGTTGAGGCCAAGGAGAAGGGAGAGGTGATGGCGGTGGAAGGGCCTGGGAAGGCTCTGAAAGCTGTCAACCTCGACAAACCGCGCGCCCAAGTCCACCTCGTACGTGTGGGCGACGAGCGGGAGCAGCGGTGGTACCTGGACTCCGGCGCCAGCAACCACATGACGGGCTCAAGGCAGCCTTCTCCGAGCTCGACGATGACGTGACCGGCACGATGAAGTTCGGTGACGGCTCAAGGGTGGCGATCCGAGGGCGCGGCACCATCATCTTCAAGTGCCAGAACGGCGAGCACCGCGTGCTAATGGATGTATATTACATTCCGCAGCTGCGTTCAAGCATCATCAGCATTGGCCAACTAGATGAGCGCGGCAGCGAGGTACTGATCAAGGACGGCGTCCTCAGGATCAGGGACAGGGAGCAACGGCTTCTTGCCAAGGTGAAGAGGTCCCGGAACCGGCTGTACCTGCTCGACCTCAAGATGGAGCAGCCCATCATCTTGCTATCGCGACGGCCGCGCGGAGGAGCCATGGGCGTGGCATGCCCGATATGGACATCTCGCCGATGCTCTTGGTCGGCCGGAGAAGATGGTGGACTGGCTGCCTCACATCGAAAGCACGCAGCGAGTGGTGGTGGCCGGTGAAGCAAAAAGAAGGTGGCCTAGGCTGACCTCACAGCGAAAGAAGAAGGATGTCGTTCCCAAAGACGGTCGGGAAGCAAAGAAGGCTGTCGTTCGAGACCCTCGAGCCGGCTGGTCCATGGTGACCTCTCGAGCGGTCCATGGTGACCTCTGCGGGCGATCACGCCGACGACGCCCGCCTGGCTCAAGTACTTCATCTTGTTGATGGATGACTGCAATAGGGTACATGTGGGCGCAGCCGACCCGACAAGAAGACCGAGGCGCGCTAAGCGATCCAAGAAGTTCAAGGCGCACGCGGAAGTGGAGAGCGACAAGAAGCTGCGCATGGTGCTCCTGCGCTACGAGGAGGGCAGCAAGGCCTATCGGCTTTATGATCCCAAGAGAGGCAAGGTAGTGATCTCTAGGGATGTGGAGTTTGATAAGAAGGCGGCCTGGGACTGAGACAATACAGGCACAGGGGAAGCTGGCGGCTTCACCAGCACCTTCGTCGTCGAGCGCATGGTCATTCACGGTGGTGGAGACGCTAGAGAGGAGGTGCCGACCACTCCAGCAACAGTGCCGAGCACTCCGGGAGGAGTGCCGAGCACTGCAGAGGGGGTGCCGAGCACTTCAGCAGCAGTGCAGAGCGCTCCAGCAGTAGAGTCGACCACTCCAGGAGTTGGTGCCGACCGCTCTAGCAGTGGATCCGACCACTCCGGCAGTGGTGCCGAGCGGTCCAGCAGCGATGCCGACCACTCCGGTAGAACAGGGAAGCCAGGGACTACCGATCAAGTTCACCTCCCCTCCGAGCGACATCAACGAGTTCGTGGATGCCTTCCACGACGGCGAGGAGGTCCGGTTCCACAGGCTGGACAACATCGTTGGCAATGCAGGGGCCACAGGCCTGGCGAGTCGGCTGCTCGACGATCCAGAGCTACTCCTTGTTAATGCCAAGGAGCCACCAACGTTCGCAGTGGTTGAACGCGACGCCAATTGGCGACGGTGATGATGTTGGAAGAGATGAAAGCCATCGAGGACAATGGCACATGGGAGCTGGTAGATCCACCGATGGGTTGTAGGCCGATCGGCTTGAAGTGGGTCTATAAGGTGAAGCGGGACGAGCGCGGCGCCATTGTCAAGTACAAGGCTCGACTCGTCGCCCAAGGCTTCGTGCAGCGTGAGGGTATCGACTTCGAGGAAGTCTTTGCTCCGGTGGCGCGAATGGAGTCCGTTCGCTTGCTGTTGGCCATGGCAGCAGCGAAGGATTGGCGTGTCCACCACCTCGACGTCAAGTCTACGTCCTCAACGACGAGCTCGCGAGAGACGGTCTTCGTCAAGCAAGCTCCGGGCTTCGCCGTCAAAGGCGCTGAGCACATGGTGCTCAAGCTGCGCAAGACGCTCTACGGGCTGCGGCAGGCCCTTCGGGTGTGGAACGCCAAGCTCGACGCCACCTTGGGCGAGCTTGGGTTCACTCGTTGCGCTACAGAGCACGCGCTCTACACGCGGCGACGGAGGAAGGAGGAGCTCGTCGGCGGCGTGTACGTGGATGACTTAATCGTCACCGGAACGCGAGCAGAGGACGTCGACGGTTTCAAGCATAAGATGGCGGCTCGTTTCAAGATGAGCGATCTCAGCGCGCTCTCCTACTACTCGACATCGAGGTGAGGCAGGGGAAGCAGAGCATCTCCCCTAGGTCGG